GTGATATCGTCCCTTATATGCATATTTAGATAGTTTTTAACTTAAATGCAACCCCCCCTTCTCCCACATCTATGCCTCCTGAATAGGTTATACCCCTCTATATTAGTAGCCCAATCATATGTGCCGTCTAGCCAGGTCTCCGATAAACCCACTATATCGAAGTCCTCCGAGTATCATAATTTCAAGCTCTTCTAATGTACCAATTATTTTTTTTTCTAAGCACACCATACACCCTGGAAAGGTTCTTTTAATGTGGCTTTGAGGGCAGTATTGAAAATACACAAATCTTTTAACCCTTATGCTGCCTGGCCCTGCTTTACATTTTTTACCTCACATAGCCAGCATTTTGCAATTTTAAATTCTTTGCTTGCAGCTTTCAGATTTTGTTGCGCTTATATTGTGCAACATAAAAATTTACAACTGCCGCCATTGTATTCTAGAGGGTCTTTGCTTTCATAAAATATGTGTTTGGGGGTTGTAAATAATTGTCAGGCCTAAAAATTATGATATGTTTGCAAAAAACGCCTTGGCAGCAAAATGGTTAAAGGAGAACTATGGGGTCATGGCTTTTCCCCATAGTTCTCCTAAGGGGAGAAAGCTACAGCTCGCGATATACTGAGATGCTGCAGCCGGGACGGATCCCGACTTTACTGTCAAGATCCACCCAGCTGCGGGATTGACAGCTGGCTCTGCCTATCTAGAGGCAGAGCCAGCTGTAGCCGCCTCCTCCCCCGTCCGTTACTCCAGACAGCGCTTTGTGGATCGGACAGGGGCGGGGAGAATCCCTGCAGGGAGCGGAGAAGTGAGTGAGCGAGCGATGGTATATGTTCTCTCACTTCCCGATTTATTGAGCCAACCTGTGACAGTTTAATTGTCACAGGTCGGCTAGAACTATGAGGCTGAGTGATTTTCACTTGCCTCATAGTTCTCATTTAAAGAATGAGCACTATATTTAAGATTCCTAAATATGTACATGTGACTGCTACGACCCTGGTAGTTCCCGCCAGTGATAGGAACATGCTTTATGGTTATTGCAGGATACATTTTGGTAACAATAGGCTTAGTTACACCAGCAACAGCAGTCATTTACAATTATTATTTATTGAAAACAAAGTATCAAAATCATGCTTTTTTTTGAAGGGGGAGTGAGGGGGGCATCGTGTTTTTTCGCATCGGGGCTCTGAGGTTTCTAGTTACGCCTCTGATATACAGTATAAGAAAACAGTTTAAATGGCATATTCAACATACCAAAATAAAGTAAATAAATAATTACAAGTTCATTGCTAGGGTTTAAATACACTTTAATACCATTTTACAATAATGCTGTAGGTATAATATGTAATAGTAGAACTCTGTCCAGAAAACTCTGTGTGTGGGTGTATACCAGAGGTTTAATAGGGGTTAACCCTGTATTTATAATTGCAAGACCACCCTTTTTTATAGTAAAAGTAAAATAAAAAGTAGCAGAAAATGGTTCCTTGAGTTGCAGCAAGCAAAAAATATAAATGTTAATTGACAAAGACATTGATACTGAATTTGTAACAACAAGATTGTTATTCATGATACCAGATGGCTAGGGTACTTTCTAGCTGGAGGACTCCAGCAGCCAAAGTGTTATTGATGTTGGCCATAACATTTTTTGGCAATGTAAATGCGCTTGACGTGTTTGGCATATAATATAGTAAAAAACAGAGCGTATTTTTTCAGTTCTATTTCAAATCCATGTTACACTTGCAGCAGACATTGGATATAATAAGCTCTCACTGAGACAAAATTTAAATCATGTAAACATGATTGAAACTTAAAGGCGTAAAGTGAATCTTTGCACGCTAAGGTATTTACATATTCTGAACAAGCAGTAAGGTCCAGTTCACACTATAGCACTGCACTAAAGGCATCAGGATCTATGAGAAGGAATAACTTCACATTAAAAGAATATTTACTGCTTGTTAAGAATATATCAAAAAGAAAAATAGTTTGTCTATAGCAGTGGTTCTCAACTTGTGTGTTGCGACCCAAAAGTGGGTCGCAACCCACAGTTGACGGGTCGCCATGTGCCTAGTGCTGCTCTAGGTGAGAGGCTCCTCAGCCTCTTCCTAGTGCAGCAATGTCAGTTCTCTGTCTGCACGCTAAATGGCGCTGCAGTGGCAGCAGCTGGGGAGGATCAAAGAGAGGGGAGTGGGCGGGAGTGAGGAAATGTGAGTGCAGGTGATCTATCAGTAGCAGCATTGACCACCACAGAGCCCGCACTGACCACCACAGAGCCCGCACTGATCACCACGTAGCCTCACTGATCACCACAGAGCCTCACTGATCACCACGTAGCCTCACTGATCACCACAGAGCCTCACTGATCACCACATAGCACACACTGACCACCAAAGATTATTAATCACCAGAGAGCCGCACTGACAGCGAGAGAGCCCACACTTGCCACCTGAGATCCCGCACAGCCTCCTGAGAGCCCGCACAGATACTAGTATTGGCGCATTCCTAAATGTTTCCATTGGGGGTCACCACAACTTGGCAAATGTTACCAAGGGGTCCCAGCCCTAGAAAGGTTGAGAACAACTGGATCTATAGGCTCAGCACAGGTGAACCTTAGGTATTAATACATAAATGTTATCATAAAGGTATTTAGCACCATATTTGATTGGGTTTAGTTGGTGGGTTAGGTGCAGCCAAATAAACATTAAGATTCAACAAAAATGCAAACTACAGTTTTGTAAATTACACAATTCAGTATTGATATATTATTGATAGCTGAATGATTGCTGAATTCATACATTTTCTAATTTAAAAAAACCTGTGGACACATCTAAGTAATTAAAATGTTGCTTATCATTTATAACAGGAAATTGCAGATGCCCAGAAGCTAGCTCCAGTACTTTAGAATGCAAAAAGCCATAACCACTAGACTACCTCTTCCTATATTTCACTTTTGAAAAGTGAGGTTGCCCATTATAATGACAGTCCTTTGGGGTAGCTAAGGAGGCAAGAGGGTCTGGGCCAGACCCAGTGAAGGGGTAGGGAGGTCATCGCTCATGTACAAGAGCAGCCTGATTTTCTCAAGAGAAGAAATGGAAGCTGATTTCCAGCCAGCAATAGATGCCTATTATTATTGCTAGTTACACTTTAATAACTTAATTTTCTCATTAGGTTTATTTTAAGAATTGACAATGTATAAAAGCAAATGGCAAATATCCTTCTTAGTCTTTTTTGCAAATCTTTTTAAATGTCATAAATAAACATCAGCATGTTTCTAATAGCAGTGACAAATATCAATAAAATTACATTTATTATAATGTCTGCCTAAAGTGTATTTCCACTTTTGCAGTCCAATTTGAGTAAATCTCTCTATATGTTCCTTATGTGTTCATAGTCTCACAGCATACTGAAAAATAACTTTGACAAAAGAATTCTTACCTTTTGATATGTTTTGGTAAATCAGGCAAGATGGCTGATTCCAGGTTTTTCTTGGCCTTTTCACAGTGGTCTGTCCTTATAGAAAGACTTGGGACTGAAATGTGAGGATTGTGTTTATCTGCTTCACTAACATACAATGGACAAGCCACCACGACCCCTCACACTTAACCGCCCCTCCTAACATTTCAAAGAAGTAGAAGGAACATGTAACAAATATAAAATAGGTGTTATTCCAATTAGCTGCGAAAGTGGAAATACACTTTAAAGTAGAACTGCAAGTAAACAGCTAACTGCACAGTTAAAATAGATATGTACACAGTTTTCAGCTTTTTAGCTGTTTTCACCTGCCTAAGCATTTCTGATTTTGTTCAGCCATTCTTGCACATATAGGAAAAGCATACTACTATTTGTAGATTCAGCATAAATATGGATTTATTTGTTGATAAATATGTCTGGTTTCAACTTTCCTAGTTCCTGGAGCACCTTTCTGCTAGACAAAGGTTATGGTGTTAATTCATTGTCCAATGAGCAAGTTGTAAACGGTGAGAAAGCTGCTTTTCTGAAACAGGGAATAACTGTGCCAGGCCTTCTGTGTAAATCACAGAATTTTCTGCACAGAGTTACAAATTCTTTGCCCAGTAAAGCAGTTCCACTTTAACACTTTATTAAGCCTGGTCACAGGTTCTTTTTAAGGTTCCATTGGTCCTCCTTTTAGATACCAAACCAGTCACATACTACACAGAGAGAAACTATACATACCACAGTACAGAAAACAAAATATGTTGCTTTAGTATCAATGCATGGAAGGGTCTGTATTATTTCTCTTAGCTGCTATAGACTTCAAGTGACATTAAACCCTCAGATGTTTTAACATAAACCAATACTGTAATGTGTGCCTTACTGTAATCCATTGTTTCCCTTCTCTTTGCTGCTCTTCCTTTTAAATCATCATGTCTTCTCATGCTGGGGGAGAACGTCCCTTTGCAGCTGAGTGCCTCTTCCTGTAGTGCTGGCTCAGGTTGCAAACCTACACACAGACACCATGTATCCATTCCAGAGACAAGGCAGTCTGCTGCAAAACAGAAGTTCTGCCCAGCATGATAAGAGATACAGATTTACAAGGAAGAGCAGCAAAGAGAAGGGAAACTACCATGGATTACAGTAAGGCGCACATTACAGTATTGTTTTATGTTAAAAAATCTGAGGGTTTAATGTCACTTTCATTCTGTATCCTCGAATGCATTGTGGCGTGTTCAATCAACATATATTGTATGCTTTTCTGCATTCCTACTAATCCTAGGTATCAACTGAGATTTAAATTCTAGCTGTATCAATTATGCAACAATTTAACATGCTTTCTGTTTTATAAAGTAAAAATTGTGTTTTAGTAAACTTCATTTTTCAGCCTAGTAATTATTTCTGGTATGGTAAATTGGGATGCCCTTCACGCTGTATTTGCTGCTTATAAAAATCTTAAATATTACATTATATAGAGAAATATAATATTAGTCATGGTAGGATCTTTTACTGGTTTACCTTCAGTTATAAAAAATACAATTTTTTTTTCTCTAAAGGTCAGAACATGGATTCTTACAGTGGGCTACACAACAGCTTTTGGGGCAATGTTTGCAAAAACATGGAGAGTTCATGCCATTTTCAAGAATGTAAAAATGAAGAAAAAGGTACATTTTGTTTGGATATTTATAACAATCATTAAAAAAATACAAATCATGTCTCGTTAGGCTTTTTATGGTGTGACAGTTTGGGCAATCAAAACACTCTGGCAACTCTTTAGGTGGTCACATATTGCTGAATTTTCCAAGACTGGCAGCAGATCTAGGCATCAATTGTAATGATCAGGCAAGAAGGGGGGTCTTGTGGCTCGTTACAATGACAAAAAGTACTTGCAAGCATCAGGAGCATTCTTTGGATATTTTCTAACTCAACATTTTGGAAAATGTCCCAGCAGGATCTGATTGTTTTTTAATTTTTTTTGCTGCTCAACACTACATGCATAATGCATTCACCTGTAGGCCAAGATGGAAGCACATTGTAGCAAGTCCCAGTGGCCCAGTATTGCAACATATGCTCTTTTATAGCAAGCCTTACCTATCCCACTTTAGAAGTTTTATTAATCTTGTGATGGTGTCTAAATGGTAAACCCAATTTAAAATTTGTAAGTATATGATGGATTTTAGTCAATGGTTCGTTTACCACTACAGTTATATAATTAGGTTGAAAAAAGACACATCCATCATGTCTAAAAAAAACACCTTGCATCTTTAGAACACTAAAAAGGGGGTTCTTCTCAGTTCGAGCGGTTAGGGTCTGGAACTCGTTGCCACAAGCAGTGATTTCAGCTAATAGTGTGGAATCGTTCAAGAAGCTTTTGGACGATTTCCTGAGAAACGGTAATATACAGGGGTACAAGTACTCCTAATAACGAGATGACGCAGGGATCTATACACACACACACACACACAATAGGTTGGACTTGATGGACATGTGTCTTTATTCAGCCTCAAATACTATGTAACTATGTAAACCTGCAGTTGACCCAGAGAAAGTAAAGAGAAAACTCTTATATTTAGAAAAATGAGAGAGAGAGAGAGAGAGAGAGAGAGAGAGAGAGAGAGAGAGAGAGAGAGAGAGTGTTGCATGGAACAGTAGGGCTGATTTACAAAAGACAGATAGGCTGTTCATGTTGTAATGGGATTTGTACTTTGCAAATAAAATTTCCCTTAGCTTAGTGAATGAGGAGAAGGTCTGCTGACTTACATAATCCAAACATATGCAAGCAAAAATATTGGGGTTTTTTTTCCTTTATTATTTCCCTTGCTCACGACTGGGTGTTCTTTCACCACATTTGCTAAGCTTCAGGAAAATTCCCTTGAAAAGTGAACAGCCTGTTTGCCTTTAGTAAACAAACCCCAAAGAGTTAGATTGACTAAGTGACCATGTTGATGTGAATGCAGTAAGAAAAAGGTAGCAAGGCCAAATAGCTTTGACACCAGGTTATTTTGAGGGAAATTATAGGTAATAAACAAGATTTGTAAATACATCAGATCAATACTGCTGCAATTGTTTACTAGTTCTCAAAGCGATAAAGAGGAAATATGTACATAAACCCTTGTAGAGACTGTCAGGAACAATTGGGCACATTGGGTAAAAATCATCTCACCATCTATGGCATCCTTTCTCAACCTTTTTAACATAGAGGAACCCTTGGAAAAAAACTTTAGGCTTTCAGGGAACGCTTGCTAATAATTACTGTATTTACAGCTCATGGTATATTAGCAAGAACAGTGAGTTGGGATATAAGAAAACATTTAAAAAAATAATGACTGTGGTATACTTGTGGCATGTGACATATTTGGCACCCAGGGCTGCTCTATAAAGCATAGTTATTTTTAATAATAGAAATGAAAAGGAACTCGTGATAGAAAAGAAACATAGATATTGAAATGGTTTTCTTCCCATACATTGGTTGTAGGGAGAAAAATGTCCCCCTATATTGAGGGTCAGTAAAGTGACCCTTTACATTGCTGGTCTGTGAAATCCTCCACCTCATTGGGAGACCCCTTTAGATTTGTGGTCAGTGAGAATAGGAAAATGTTATCATTTTTAAATGTTTACCTAACAGCCACAAGGTACAATCCAGTTGAAGATCATAATTTATCTAAAATAAAATCAAGCTGACATATATTTTTGTTAATAGTAAACATATTTCACAAGTATGAAATATATGGCTATAATGTTTTAAATGGCTTGTATGTTTTCAAATGTTTTCTTGTTTGTGTAAAACAATGTCATCTGATCTTTAGGCAGTGCCCCAGGGTGGATTGGACTGCAGAGCATCCTGGACTTTGTTAAAAATCTAGAACACATTTCAGAAAGCAGTGGCATAGCCCTTGGAACACTGACCTTTAATCTAAATTTGAGACATAGTCAATCATTGCTGGGGTTGATGTAAAGTAATACTGACTTTCTGTTGATGAATTTAAGTATCCGGAAAGTTAGCTAAGTATGGATATTAAAGTAAATTCGGTTTGCCGTTATGAAGTCATAAAAAAACAGAAAATGAAACCAAAACCAAAATCTATTATATTAAAATGATCTCTATGAATGTAAACAAATAGAAATGTAAAAAAATACAAATGCAATTGTGCACATTTTGCATATATCTGGGACTCTATGAGGGGAATTTACTAAAACTGGAGCAGACTGAATATGGACTAGCTATGCATACCGTAGTAACCAATGAGTTTCTCTTTTCAGCTTGTTCAGTTAAAGTGATATTAAAGGCAAAAGGATTTTAAGCTATTGCAGATGCTGATGAATTCACTTACAATGAATGCTGCTCCTTGATGTTTAAAAGTTTTAGCTTCCTGCAGAATAAGCTGGTCCCCTGAGCACTGGTCCTGACTTCCTGTTTTAGTGTGACTCCTTTCTCAAGCAGAGTGCTATCCAGTCACTCTTCTGTGTGATAGTAAGCTGTGTATGTCTCCACAAACACACAGACACAGCATATCAAGCTACTTCCCTGCCCCTGGCCCCCTCTCCTCCCTTCTCCAAGCTAGTAGATGAACAGTTGCTGGAGTCTGGACTGTTCTTTGTGACCTAGTACAGGACAGGAAATTCAAGAAAGCTGAACTTGGAGACTAGGATGCAGCTGTTCATGATGATTGTAAGTGTTTGGGCAAAATGTAAATCAATTATTTGCTGGGCAATATATATTTGTTTAATCTGGATTCATTATTGAAAAAAGTTTGAGAGTTTCATAATGAAAGCTGGAAACTGATTGATTGCCATGCACAGTTGCTCCAGATTTTGTCAGGTGCAGTAATAGTAAATTGCCCCCTATACGTTTAAAAATTATGTAACAATAAGTATATAAATATAATTAGAATATATAATGGATCCCTTACATCCAACAATAGGGATCATTAAATCAGGAGGATGGTTGATTCATCACCATTTAATCCTGCAGCATACATGAAGATCTGTCTGGAAATCAGGCAATCATTACTTAAGAGATTCATAATACTCTGTTGATTGCAGATCTGTATGCATATATTCAAGAGAATAGAAAAACATCTCAATCAGGTTTTTACATCTCAATCATTTTTTTTTTTTTTTTTTTTTTTTTTTTACTAACCTGTATTTTAAACCAATAGACCTTGATGTAGAAACTTCTGTTATAGCTCAGCATTTGTCTTTCTAATACCAGAATAAAGCTTAATAGTTCATTTCATTGGGCATATGTATTAGTGCTGTCAAAACATGGTTGCTCTCAATCATCTACAAACAATAGCAAAATTACCTCAATATACTGGATATAGAACTAACCTGGGCAGAGGTGGAAAATAACTGGCTCTTGTGCAACTTTGGTTTGCACTTTTGTACAATGTTGTATAATACTCCTCAAAACTTCACATATTAATACTGCAGGTATTTTGATTTATTTGTTAAAAATAAATAAATTAGTATTGTGAGCTGTAGCTTGACTGTATTTCTTGATAAATATTTTAGAAATATCTGGTGGATTATAAATAACCGAAAACATTAGTATTATATAAAGACCAATAATGTTAGATGTGATTGTTAAAGTTACATAGTTACATAGTATTTGGGGTTGAATAAAGACATACGTCCATCAAGTCCAACCCATATAGGTCCACGCATCATCTCATTCTTAGGGATACTGGTATCCCTGGATATTACGGTCCCTCAAGAAATTGTCCAAACGTTTCTTGAACAAATCTACACTCTTGGCTGAAATCACTGCCGATGGCAGTGAGTTCCAGACCTTAACCGCTCTTACTGTAAAGAACCCTCTTCGCCCATTGTGCTGGAATTTTTTCTCCACCAACTTTAGGTGGTGGCCTCTAGTCTTTGTAATGGAGTTAATCTCAAACAGTTTGTTGCCAATGTTGCTGTCACCATTGAACATCTTGTACATGAAAATCATATCCCCCTTAATCTCCTTAATTCCAGCGTAAACATGTTTAAGGTCAGAAGCCTTGTCTCATAGCTCTGGTCCTCCATTCTCGAAGGGGAAAAAAAAACATATTTAGCACATCTCTGCAAATCATCTGCATTTCCCCATATATTATCCCATGTTTTAGGCATGCTGCTAGCACAGAAAAATAAACGTTTGATGTGCCAAAAATATAGTATTCTCCTACCTTCCTCTTTGACATGACAACACAACTCTGAATTTCTAAGCATGTGGTTTCAGCCCTGCCTGCTTTATTTCTGATGGATTACAAAGAACACAGACCTCTCCTCATCTCCCCCAAAACCCCTCCTTGTGCACACACAAAAAGCACAGGATGTTATCAGCTCACAAGATTTCTGGAAACATCAACAGGTATTTTTCACACTTATGGAACAGATGTAACAGAACACATTAATGGTATATTTAACAGCCCAAAAAGGAGCAAATAAAAGAAGTTTATTGTTTGGATCCACATACACTTAACTTATACATACCTCTTCAAATCCCCTATACTGACACATTTCTATTTCTATTTTCTAGATTATCAAAGATCAGAAGCTGCTGGTGATAGTCGGTGGGATGCTGTTAATTGACTTGTGTATTTTGATTTGTTGGCAAATAGTGGATCCTTTGAAAAGAACAGTTGAAGAGTATAACCTTGAGGTAAGTTGCTTTTATGCACAGGGTTAAACAGTATAGCTGTGTGATTATAGTGAATCATACACAGTATACAATATATAGTGCAGTAAAGACAGCTATGCAGGCTTGTGTATAAACAGTCGTTTTGGTAGAACTGAAATGATTTGTTATATATTGTCATTTGTCATGATTTGTAAAATATCCCTTTATTTTGCTGTTTGATACTTAATTGTATATAATGGTACTAATAAATAACAAAAACAATAAAAAAAATGTCCATCAGGATTTCAGTTACGCGTCATGTATGTTTTCACAAGGTACAAAGAAATATATGTACTGTATATCCCTGGATCTTTTTGATCTTCTTGCTTTGCTGTGTGGTTCACAGTATTAATAGATGATGCTGAAGCAAATATAGTTTTTGCTGTTGTTTGAATTGCCTGCTTTAAATACAACATCTAATCTGGCAAATATGCTAAGAAACAGGAAACATATAGATATTTACTAATCATACAAAATGTTCTAAACAATGTTTTAGGCTGTTACAGTCTTGTGAAAATGCTTCCATACACAGACAGTACAGAACAATATATATAGATATCTATATATCTATATCTATATATATTACTGTGCTTTTGGGGCTCTGGAGACTTACCAGGGATATAGTGGGTGGGTTCTCTGGGGTTAACAGACTGAGGACCCCAGAGCTGGCAGACACCGACCTTAGCAATGTAGCAATGTGAAGTTGTGCCAAACATACTCTCTGCATAGAAATATATTTTCTGTACTATACTTTATGGATAAATAAAAGTGATCACAGCCTTAAAACTGATGCTTTTTATGACAACCTTTTGTGCTTTATAGATGGCAGCAACTGTGTCTGTTTCTTTAAACGGCACTTCACAATTTCAAAGTGGAGCAAGGAACTCTAAACACAAGAGACTTTTAGCTCTGAGTTTATAATAGATGCTATGGCAATGAATAATAGATTTCCGGGACCCATTAGTATACTAGACATGCTTGGTAAGACCTCACGTAGATGAACACTTGCAAAAGCTTCCACATGGCTGCAGGAAAAAATGTCGTTTGAAAGCTGCAAACTTTCCTGAAGATGCTTAGGTATCTTTTTTATCATTTACTTTAGAGAACACGAAAAGCCCTTTCTGTACTATCATCAGAACATCAGATGGTGCAGATCTTCCTTCTGGCATTCATTATAATGTGTTCCAGATAGAAGGTCCTGGCACTGCAGTGGTTTACGTCATATGTTGATCATGGAATAGGGCCTGATCAGTCAGATTATGAAGTATTAATAAGTAAAATGTGCCGGCTGCAGAAATAAAATGTTTGTTGATGGAGAATGTCATTGTAGATTAAGCCTAGCCTGATGCTTTTTATACCTTTTACGTTAGTGTTAAGAAGCTGTGATTTAACTGTTTCACAGCTCCTCGCACCTGCAATGAACTGCAGAAGCTGAAATACGCCATTCACATTGAATTGCATTGATTGCCTGCAAATTTTATTCAGCTCAAATGTATGTATATAATACAACAGCTTTCTCCATCCACTCAATCAATTCTACAGAGGTTTCAATAATGATATCCCATTCCCTGCCTTTGTCTTCTAAGTTCCGGATTGAACATCTCTCTAATGGAGTAATTTAAGGCTGTTCCTGGAAGTTAGGCTGACATGGAGCCAGAAAATTCACATTAACCAACCTTGCCAGGAACCACTCATATCTTAGTTTCTCTAGCAAAGTAATGGAATGCCATGTAAACTGTTTTATTTAGCTCTGAAGCGGAAATATGATGATGCTACATAAATATTGCTGCATGAGCTGGGCCTACACTAATGTTTCTTGTAATTACTCAGTTAATTATTTCTCATTAGGGATAAGCGAATTGTCAAATCAAATGAAATCAGTTAAAAAACCCTGAATCTCTGAACACCAAGATTAAGTTTTTGGGGGCTATTCTTGGTAGTAAATTCTCACCATTTTCAAGGCTAATAGTCAAAAAAGAGCACGGCCTGAATTGAAGAAGCCACACAGATCTAAAAGCTATAGGAAGGGTTACGCTTAAAAAACCCTAAAGCCCTCGACTTCATGCAAGTTGGTCAGTGGCAAAATAGTTCAATAGTAGGATTTGTGAGCTTCATTTTTTCACAGAACCACACTGCATTGTCTTGAAACATCTAATACAGTCTCAAATCAGAGTGCACAAAAACACTTACAAACCACAAACACACATTCCCTGAAGTCACACCCATGCCCATATCCCTAATTATTCCCCAAATATTCAGTGGCCACAAATATTGTACTCTGTCTGGTTGTGCAGCTCCAAACAGCAGCAGGCATCCGCTGCCATCTGGAGCTGCATTGTTTTTTCATTGTTTCTTTACTTTGTGGTGCGGTAGTTGGGCTGCACACAGCAGAGATCAGGCACATCTGCAATTCATCTGCTTCACCAGCATAATATTTCTACTCTCAGGCATTCACCAGTCAGTTGTATTTTTTTCAACATGGTGGTACTGGTGATGCTGATTTAAAGGTGCTTGTTTGGACACTTTGGGATACATTTATAAAAACTGAAGTTAAGATTTGAAAATCAAAGATAGAAGCTGATTGGTTGCCATGCACTGCTGCTCCAGATTTTGTCTGCTCTAGTTTTGATAAAGTCCCCTGTCACATGCTCTCTCTCCCAAATTAAACAAAATGCTTCTGTGCTAATGTACACATGCAGCCAGTTATTACTGCAATGCACGTGGGTAGGCTGTAAACAGGCTACAGACATTTCCCTCCCGTCACATACCTAAATTCTCTAAGATACAAAGCATTTTGCTACCTACATTACATTCAGTAAGGGTTTAACAAACCTGCCAGTGCCTACACTCTTCCTACGGGCCCTAATCTGCACCTAATCATTGTAAGCAGCACTTCCTATGCTTTCTCTATCAGAGATGAAGAATACTGTCAATATGTCTGCTGTGACCTCACCCTTTTATAGTGTGGGGGATGAATACTATAGGGTTCGTATTACAGTTCACAATTTGTGTTTTATGACAAGTTCACCAAACGCACCTCTAAATCGAGTCCAAGCTATTTCACCCATCACACCTGAGACGTAATACCAGTTCATAGGACCCTTATGCTTCAGAGATAATATCTTTAAAATGTTGAATCTTGAAAATCAATTATCTCCATTTTACATAGTTACATAGTTACATAGTATTTGAGGTTGAATAAAGACATTAGTCCATCAAGTCCAATCTATTAGGATCTCATTCTAGGAGTACCTGTACCCCTGTATATTACCTGTACCCCTGTATATTACGGTCCCTTAAGAAATCGTCCAAAAGTTTCTTGAACAATTCCACATTATTTGCTGAAATCACCGCCTGTGGCAGTGAGTTCCAGACCCTAACTGATCTTACTGTGAAGAACCCCCTTCGCCCCTTGTGCTGGAATTTTTTTTCCACCAATTTTAGGTGATGGCCTCTAGTTTTTGTAACGGAGTTAATTTTAAACAGTTTATCGCTAATGTTGCTACCACCATT